TTCTCCAGACACACCCCGAATCTCCCCAGAGCTAGATAATTTTATTACCCTCCAACAACAATCCTACCACCTTAACACCCCGACCATAAACCAAATCTCTTCCACTACAAATTCATCCAATCCCCCTACACCCTCTTCAAATTATACTGAATCATTAACACCATCATCCACATCCACTATATCTTCACTAAACACTAATAGAGCTTACCGCACTTTTAAAAGAAAATTCCCCAACCATCCTTTCCCAGCAAAACCAGGAACAGCCCGTGAATACATCAACCACCCCCAGCATACTAACACTAAAGAATTTTTAGCTATCACTTTACCCTCATTTCCACAATACACCTTAAACACCCCTCACGACGCTAACGAAACACGCAACTTTGTAGATGAATACGTTTTAATGCCCACTCTCTCTTGGACCTCATACTATCATTTCACTAACCCTCTTTGCTTACCTTTATCCAACACTTCCATCGATATAGAACGAAACAAAGACATGCTATATCGACTAACTACACCACTAACCGCTAGACAGTTTACTTACGTTGGATATGAAAAATCACTAAAAATACACACTGCACCAAGAGCTAATGAATATACACTAGAATACTACGATCACAACATCATCAGAGCTAACCAAGATCAATTCTTAGACGACGATCGCTTCGCTAATCCACAAATCACCGAGAAATTTTTCATCAAGACACCATATGTATTTACACTAAACATCTTCGACCGAAAGTTTGATCACATTATTTCAGAAGCACTAACACACACACAAGCATACGAAAGTTTTAAAGAACGCTTACAAATCTTTTCACTAACCTTTCATTTCCTTGCACCACACGAAAGAGATTTGCACTGCTCACATGATATTATGTTGCGCACTAAACAAACACATACATACACTTACTATCGTTTCATCCAAAATCACTTTGACCTTCACACACCCTCTAGACAACCACACCATCGTTTTCAATTCATCAATTCAAAATACACTTCACCGTATTTCCTAAATTTCACATATTGTATTAAAGACACTAACCTCCATGGTATTCTTCGTAACTATGACCCCATAACCCAAATGTACATTTTCTGCCCCATCACCAAGACCTTCAACGCCGAAGAATCCCGACCCTTCCTTATCCCGCACGAGTTTGTACAGCCTATAGAAATCCCAATTTTAGAATTCATCCACAACACTAAATTTAATCACAAATTATATAACTTAATCCAAAACACACCTTATGAGTTTGCAGTAGGCACTGAAGAACTAACCACTATTAAGGCACTTCAATTGCTTTGGCCACTGCTTCAGACTAAAAATATCATCCGCATTTTAGCTAAACTACTAACAACTTCAGAACTAATTCACGACATCTTCCCCCACGGTTTTTTCCCCGACGACTAACAGGCAAGTATGAATTAAGTAAATATTACTAACTAATTACAGTATTAAAAACTCACCATTCTTTATTCATGTTTTCCTTAGATTTTTAGCTTTCATCCGACAATCATCTACAAAAACCACAAAAGAAACAATAAAAATCACAATTTTCATCAAACAATTTTAAAATTCTATTAATCTCTTACACTTATAAATTTCTAAATTTAATATCAATGCAGTAAAATTCATCTATAATATTTTCCCCCAAAGCAGTAAATCTAATTATGATGAAAATTTGTATCTTAATATTCCCCCATGACTAGCAGTAAATTTCTAAATTCTATGTAGTAAATTAAATAAATGCAAATGCAGTACTAACCTTTTGATATTTTCATTCATTCGCACAGAAATTCTATCCACACTCGCACAGCTCGCCCACGAAGAATTGTTTAAAATAATGAATTTCAGTTTCAAGTTTTCACACTCAACAACTCTAACATAAAATAACATGTTTCAAATTTTCCTTTAACCCGGTTGGAAAGGAATCATATACTAAACAAAACTAACCAACGCAGCTCACTAAATACCACAAATCATAGAATAACAGCATGACTTAGAAAAGGAAACCAACGGTACCCAAACCGGATTAACCCAGTTTAAAACTGGATAATTTATTCTTTTGAAGACTATTACAAAGTCTTAGAAAGAAATAATAAAACACAAAAAAGTCGAAAGACAAACCCATACCACAAACAATTTGCTTTTTGGAAAAAGTACATAACCAACAAGACATAAGTAAGACCACAACAAACCCAACATAAAACGTTGTCACATAACAGGACCCCTCACAAAAACCGCATGAAATCATACTCCCACTCCTGGCCTAACCCACCAGGAAGGACGTCCTGAGCATGCTCTATAGCCGGCCTAACCCACCGCGCTACATCCACGCTTTGTGACCACACCTTTATTTTTAATAAGAGCTACTCAAGGGTGAGTAACTCTTCAAAATAACCGAACTAAAACAAAAAGCTTTTGTGAAAACAACTAACTAAAATCATTATTAAAAAATATTAAACTAATAAAAGTTTTATAATATGTAAAATCACATGATGCAATATATAGATCAGAATACAACACCAAGGACGAACATCAAAAGACAAGACGACCCCACTACACTCGAGAGAGAATGACCAACTACAATCGATATGCCGCTCACAACCACAACTCAAAGGATTTTGAGTACGACTTGACTTCGCAGAAAAGGACTTCATTGAACTAGACCAATGACCACCTCGATGTTCAAGTATACGTACAGATCCGAGTAACCAGGCATCCCCTCCACGCACAATCTCCACACCATTCCCAAGCTAGATCAGACACAAAAGAAGTTCTCCACGAAGAACAGAAAAACCTGACATAGCCAACCATTCTGAAATCAGATTTGAGTTTGTTGCGAAGACTTAGTCGTTGTCACAAGAAGAACACAACGTCTTATGTCTCTAACTCCAGCTTCCTGGAACTTCCTTAACAAAAAGGAAACAGAAGAAATATGATGTTCGCCAAATACCAACGTCCATCATCCATCCTTCGAATTGCAGAAGAACTATTCTAAAAAACTCTGTAAAACCCGGATGGGTGGAACCTGATCTAAACTATATTTTATGATTGGATAAATTAAATGTTTTACCAATGTAAAGTATTTAATATTAACCAATCATGATCCATCTAACTAACAACCCACTTATTTGTAAGTGCTGAAGTTACTTGTAATTTCAGCACCAGAGAGATTTGAATTTAACTTAGAAATTAGTTGGACTCTCCCGAGCACTTCAGCAGCCGCAATAAACCAGTATACCCTAGATCTATTGAGCCTAGCAGAGACTAGTTAAACAACCTGAGACTAGATAGTATAAGAGTAAGATTAGGATCGGTATTAGACTAAGAAGTTGCACGAATCTATCCGGCCGAAAATAAGATAGCGTGACGAGCAGACGGTGTACCCTATCCGAAATTACTCTATGAGTTATACACTCCAGTCCTAACTCAAATATATTTCGAATCAATGTTTACTTATAAAAAAGTAGTTCTGTACATGAGCCCATTATTAACGAAAATTTAGTTAGACAATGAAACCAGATACTGGTAGAGGAGCAAATTTCCACCGGAGTCTGTGTCCAGGGTGAATTTGTTGTTGCATTTGGGACATATGCCACGGAACATAACTCCTTTATACTCGGACACACATGATGACCTTTCACAAGAAGGGCACACTCCTTTAAACTCGGACACACATGATAACCTTTCACAAGAAGGGCACACTCCTTTAAACTCGGACACACATGATAACCTTTTACAAAAAGGGCACACTCCTTTAAACTCGGACACACATGATAACCTTTTACAAGAAGGGCACATGTGTTGAGATAGCTTGAGTCCTTGCAGATTTTTTAGGAAAATCGCAGCTTGTTTACTGCCATGCAAGGCAGCATAGGTCCTTTCTTTGGTAAGCAGACGGTTTTTGTCAACATGGATTTTGATGAAGGTCATTTTTCGAAGAGTTTCAGAGTTTTCTATTTTGAAGAAACCACTATCAGCCCACGCAATTCCCCAGGAGTTCATAAACCTCAAAAATTTTGAGGTGAAGCTTGTTAATACAACGGCATGCTCATCATCTTTCTCATCTGTGTGGTTGATGTCGTAAGACGGCGGCAAATTTTTGCGACGAAGAATTCCTTTTCGCTCATTCTGAAAAAATTTTTTGAACCTTTGTTTTTCGTTATTGTTCCACGAAAAAACTGCGATGACAAAGTGCATGTTTGATGCAGCTTCCAATGCATCTTGGTACTCAACTTTCTGGGCTCTGAGACGATAAGTTTTGGCAAACGAGTCTAAATGGTCGGTGTAAATTTTGTTCTGGCTTTTGAAGTGCTCTATTAGTTCTTCGCGCAATTTTTCAACAGTAGGGTATTCTCCTTGGCGGTTAGGTATTCGATGAAGCTCCAAGTACATGGCTGCAGCTGCTGCATACTCAAGACAGTCATCTGAATTCCCTTGGTCTCCAGGAATCACTTTATTTTGTTTCTGATTTATACAAGAAACAAGTGACACCTCACTTAGTATATCGCTCAGGCAATCTTTGTCTGTGAAAATCTGTTTTGCAAAAGCGCAGACTGAGCGCACGTTTGAGTGGTTGTTAGCGTGAACAAATAGTTTTACTTCATTTCTTTTCTGAGGGTTACTTGGTTCCTCCAACGTCCAACCTGCCATTTGAAACACGTTCGGTAGAATTTTGAAGCACTCAACCTTGGAACTCAATTTGAAGAACATTTGAGTACTTGGTTGCCAGTTTTTTCTATTTGTGTCGCAAAACAAAGTGCGCCCGTTGACTTCTTGCTTAGAACTAGCAGGATTAGCTGATACATATAGCGAAAAAACATTAAAATTGTTAGTTTCAAACAAAATTTTTACACTGTGAAACATTTTGAGCTTTTGTGTTTTTTTTTCGATGTGCAATTTGAGATTTTCCATTTCGGAATGAAGCGTTTTGAAATTTGCCGTTTGTGATGTTACATACTTTTTGAGCCGCTCTGTTTCTCTTGCTAGATACCTTTTGAGCTCTTCCGTTTCTCTTGCTAGAAACATTTTGAGCTCTTTCGTTTCGTTTGTCAAATACATTTTGAGATCTGATTTTTCTCTTTCCAGATATATTTCGAGACTTTCTGTAGATACTGCTCCGTTGGTTGGAAAGAAATTTGGCATTGGAAATACTTCCCATTTTTCGAGATCGGTTATAACAAATGGCTTGCCATTCGAAATAAACAAAACAATTTTGCAATGATTGTTGTATGCAACATCTGAGGTCAACCTGTGTACTTCATGTATGCATTTTTCAATATCAGCATCACCGTAAAAGTATGGAACGAATTCATCCCAAGCACTACCGCCATCTTTTGGTCGTCCAAATTGTGCGATTAAATTTGTTTCGCCAGAAAAGGCGTTCTGAGTTTTTTCCAATTTCTGAGCCGCTTCTCGGGCACTAAGAATTGAACTTGATTCAGGCACTTTCAGAAGTTGAAATCCAAGTAAATGATATATTGAAAACTTGCCATCAGTTCCGTAGTCTCTAAAATCATCAGATCGTTTTTTTACAACAATAACTTTCAAAAATGTAGTTTGAAATTTATTAGCCCCACTCTTAGTTTTTTTTAAATTTTTTTATTCCAATAAAAATTTTAAGAATTAAATTTATTAAAACAAAACAATTAAAAGTTATTAAGAAATTCGAAATGCTGTGACATTCGACCAGAATGGATCAAAATGCAGATTCGGCATATTCGAAATTTTAGCAGTGAACCTTCCGAATTGGTGATTTTGAAGGAATAAGAGCGTTATTAGTACGATTGGCCAAACGGTGAGGGCTAGAATATTCTGGTATTTTAGAATTTTAAAAATTCGAAGTGATGACGTAATAATTCTGAGAAGCGTCAAAAACGGCCATTTTGGGCAGAAAGTCGAAGAAAAACACAACAACGATAGTTGCGACGACAACAACGAGAAAATTGAGAATCAGAATCAGAGAAAAGCAGAAGTAGCAGAGACTGCTCCAAGTTGCAACTATTGTGTCGCTACAATAGTTGCAAAGCAGTTGCTAACAACAGTGAGGGGTGGAAACCAGCGTTCCGGGTTACAGAGAAATCAAGCTTAACGTGTTTGATTCAGTGGATTCGAGATCCGGAGGGGTTTCGGGACTGAAACTTTTATCATCTTATATGAACTTTTAGCTTCCCTGTCATGTCCTGATTTGAATTTAATTAACATCTGAATTCATTCTACTAAGATGAGAAGCTAGGAGTTGGGGGGAAAGGGTTGATCCATCTTCGATAGAGATGATGATTTTTATCTAGCGAACAAAAACAATAATAATTCAATAAGTAGTAGTAGCCCTGTTTTTAGGAGTGACCTCGTGGTCTGGGGATACTGAGACCCAGCCATGAGCTCACTATTTCAGCATGTAATTAAGTTAATTTGAGTGTTTTGACCGAAGCCGAAAGCAGTAACGTTTTTGTCGACCCGATGTTAGAAAGACCACCAAAAGTACTGGCTTGGTAGAGACGGTTAAAAGCATGTAAAGCTCTGTTTATACGTTAGCCAGTCGTCTTAGGACTTGGTTTTATTTTCTGTCGATATGTATCTTCCGGGCAAATGTTACTTACATGTTTTTATGGCGCTCCTGGGTGTTATTCTTTTTAACATCATGACCGGCAGAACCGTTAACGAGCACTCCGCGCCGAGCGGATGCTCACATTAACGCCCATATTAGGCCTAAACCGCCGGGGCGGAAGGGTAGTTCGGAACGCGGAAGCCTTCCGGATTACCGTGAATAGCTTTTTAACCTAGTTAAGACCGAAAATTCACGAATCAGGAAGGGTGGGGGGATCGGCCATTCCCTCGTTCCCTGAGAGGTTTGTGACCAAAAACACTTAAACATATATATAAAACCAAACAAAAAGTAGTATAGTACCCAAGAAAAACAAAAAACATAAAAAAAGTTTAAAAAAAAATCAGTAGAAATCATCCCCCCAGACAAGATGTGATCCGACCCTCCCGTTTGTTGTTTAAAGATATATTGTTGTTACAGGCATTTATATCAGTCAGGATTGTTGCGATCAATTTTGTAGCCCGTTTGTGAGATTTGTACTGTAGTGTTATTTGAGCATTTAAGCACGTTAATGATAAATTGCGCTCAATCCGGAAGGGTCAGCTGATTTGCGCTCAATTCGGAAGGGTCTTGGGAGAAGACTGATCCGGCAAGCAGTACAAGGAGCAACAAGAAGGGGCTGAACGACAACAACAATCGACTGTTGGGTATCGTTAACAAATTTTGTATCCCTTTTGGTACAAAATGTAAGATAGTAATCTGTGGGGGTTCGACAGTGCTGCACTGTAGTGAACCTTCACCGAACTGCGAATATCCGAGTTAAGCACCCCCTAATTCGGATATTAAACAAACCCGGAGGGGTATAGTATTACTAATATTATTACTTATATAGCCTATATTAATACTCTTATACCGTTTTTCAGTGAAAAACACAGAAAGCAGACCGGCTTTTAGGGTCAAAATAGCGATATTTTGATTCACCCACAAGTCGCGATTTTTGAGACATCGATATTTTTTGAAACGGAAAAAAGCGCAAAAGTAGTGTGTTACATCGTAACTTCACTACCATAATAGATAGAACCGGTTAAGTCTAGTTCGAAAGTGGTTGGAACTATTTTGGAACCAAAAACCGAATTTCCGTGATTTTTGAGAAACCGAAACAATATAAATTCAGAAAAGTTTTAAAACCCGCTACGCGAAAGCCTTCCGGGTTGCAGAGAAATCGAATTTAACGTGTTTGATTTGGTGGATTCATCAATCCGGAGGGGTACAGGTAGCATAGTTTTTCGCAAATTTTTTTCAACTAAAGCGTTTTAGATCGGGTCTCTTGCATTGAACTAGAAGAGTATAGGCCTTCTGAGCTCGGATCAATAATTTTTAAGTCGAAAGGAACAGAATTGCGGGAAAAGTTTTGGCTAATAACTTTGGGACTACTAGGCATATCGAGTTGATCTTGGTGTCAATAGATCAGAAATTAACTGAACTTACTGATAGGGACAAAAGTTTTTCGAAAATGTAAGCGTGAAAATTTTTTGAGATTGTTTTTAGCAAATTAACAAATTTGGGAGGGTAGACCCTTCACTTTGTATAAATTTCTTTTAGAAAAGCCCTTATACCCCTACCAAAAGGTAATAGCGGTTGAATAAAGTGACTTTAGGCTGTTCTAGACGAAAAGGGAAGGCTAAAGGCACAGCAGAACCTTAATCGAGTCGAAGTTAGGCGAGCGATAAGACCCTTCACCGTTAGCGTGAATTGTCAAATAAGAGGCTTAACATCAATCCGGAAGGGTCTAGGAAAGCATTACATACCCTTCCTAGTTAATTTAAAAAGCAAAATAGCATCGGAGAACGTATCCGGTGGGGTATAGGTTGAAAGAAGGAGATCTCCTAAAAGCTATTTTTACAAAACCGGAGGGCTACCAATCCGGAGGGGTCAAAATTTTTTTTCTAATTAGGAGGGGTCCGAATCCGGAGGGGTCTTATAGTTGCTAATTCGGAGGGCTCCAAATCCGGAGGGATCTTGTATTAACTAACTCAGAGGGGTCCCAATGAGGGGTCTCGTAATTCATTGGTGTGGATTGTAACACAATACGTTTTTGTGAAAAGTGACTGCCCTGAGGATTGTAGTAGGTATAGCTCGGGCAGTCCGAAGGCAGATAGGTAACACAGTACTCGGTGGGTGCAAAAGACGCCCACTTGAGAAAATTACTGTTTTCAAAGTTTTGTCTGTTTGGTGCAGCACCGAGCAGGGAAAGCTTTTTCTTTAAAATACGAGTTCGACTATTGTACTGCGACCGACTAAAAGTACAAAACACTTACGTTTTTTTTTTCATAGAAGTATTCATATTCTGTCATTTTATTATATATATATTTTTTGTTTTTGATTTTAAATCTACATAAACTGTGCCTGATTGGGTAGTGAGTACACTATATTTTAAATTGACTGATAACATCATATTATGCTAGTACTCAAATCTCACGACCGATAATCGGTTAGTGTGAATAAATTGTATACAAACTGCACTCTGATAACATACAGGGATTCGTGGTCACTGTTTTATAGAATCTTGTGAAATTTATTGTGTGGTGTCATTATTATTGGTAGTCAAACTACAAGGTCACTAGCAATCGAATTAAGTGTATAGGCATTAAGAAGGGACAAATAGAGAATAAGTCTAGACAAGTCAAGGTTACCTAAACGAGGTAATAGCTCTAGGAATTTCATACCTGAAAAGCAAAGAAAAACGATGACCGATCCTTTTGTGGATTGAATCAAACGAGCCCGGACCGACAAAGGGGAGACGGTTTCAGGCAGAATGGTTGAAACGAGGAGTCAGAAGACCTCAGAAGAGCGAAAAGAACTGTTAGAAGTGGAGGTCAATACGGACCATGCCATGAACGACAACCAGGAAGTACATGGACTGGAAGGGAGAGGCAGAAGGCTGGCGAGTGAATCTACTCCGGTAGAACAAGGCAATGATTTTGCCACTTCCACCGGGACATTGGATCGAGAAGAGATGTCGGAACTGTCCGACATCTCAACTGAAATAGCGGCAACTAGAAGATCTCCAACATACATCACTATGATGGCAGGCGGAACTGAGAAACAAACAACGTCATCATCGTTCTCAGAAAGAATGAGGAACACCCTAGGAAACATCTTTCCATTTACCATGGGAGGGGGCGCAGGAAATGAAGGTGAATCCCAGGAGGAGGACGAAGAAGAGCAAGTGGACTTTGGGTCTCAAGTCAGCCTCAATAGTTCGACCCAGGAAAATGAGGCATACGTCGGAAGAGAGACTGGAACCATGGACAAATTTGGTGTAGTGAGAACGATAAGCAAAGAGGTAAACACACCGGGCCAGTTGAGAGACTTCGCGATTATGACAAATTCAGAGCTGCAAACTGGGGAGAGTAGAAACAGAGGGCTAGGCAACGAAGGCTAGGCAAATACGTCGAGGCAGAGAGTCAAGGCCCGGATCTCGACCAGCACGAAGCTACCTGGGACCGACAGGGTTACACCGCCACTAGTGACGCCACTCGTGGATAACGGGGCAGCACTAGAAGAAGCCTTAAACAACATAGTGGACAGTTTAGGAGAACAAAATGAACAGATGTCCATAAGAATGAGTGAACTAGAAAGGGCAGTTCACATTGAAAGAGAAAGTCTGCGGGAAGAAATAAACCGCAATAGACAAGAAGTTGGTAGGAGCGAAAAACGCTTGAAATAAAGAACGGACGAGCATATGGCGAAGGACTTGTCGCGAATGACAAGAGAAGCGGAACAGCGAGAGTTACGCTTAAGAGGCGACATGGAGAAGTTAAGATTTCAGCAAGAGCAGTCTCTTGGGACTCTTGACACAAAGATAGGCGCGATGATGGAGAGGCGAACTCAGGCTATCATGGATAGGTTGGACGGGCTACTAAGCAGCAAGAGTGGACCAAAAGAAGGGGAATCGAACTCGG